AGATTAGGCTGGATATTTAAGTACCCCTAGTTAAAATGGCCTTTTCTACAGGTCTATTTTGTAGATTAAACATTCGTTCATCATATATTTTCTTTCATTAGTATTGTATAATAGCTATTGGCTAGAGGGCACCTTGATTTTATTTGGTATGAGGAATTATTTGAAAGATCAATTCTGAGGGTTTAGGGATGAAATCATTCTTTAAACCTCTCTAAGGCAGAAAGAACCTATTTTATCTGTTAATTCCTTTCATGTCTTCTGCCAATGTATATTGAAAAACCCAGTTTAATTTTGTATCATGTTGTTGTATTTTCAAATACAGATTTTTCCCTTCCCATTTCCATTTCACAAAAGTGAATTAAAAATCTGCATAAAATTGTGTACAAATAAAATAAGCTTTTTTGTAAACAAATCTTAGCAATGTAAGCTGTTTTGTATATGATCACTACATTAATAACAATATCAATTTGGAAGTATGTAAAAGGACAATAATGTCTTAAAGTTGATTTATTTTGGAAATACAAATTACCTACAAATACAAATCATATTATATCTGTCCTGGTTTATAATAAATTGTAAATATTACTTCAGTGACATTTACAGATAAAATTCTGCCCTGTATCTCATTTGATCTCAGTACTGAATGCATTTTCATTCCTTCCCACTCTGTTCTAGACTATGAAAACCACTGAAAAGAAGTTAAAAATTTCTCACAAAGCACAACAGTATAGTGATAACCTTGCGAGCTAGTGACCGATATTATCTCTCTGCTCATTTCTTTCCTCTTTTTATCTTTTTTCCCCCTACAGATAAGACTTTCTTTCAATGTGCCGATGACAGAATAATATCTCCAGATTGATTGCTTACCCCACACGGACCTGTTGAAATATTTCTACCTTGGAAAGCTGGAGATCAAAAGCATCAGAAAAGAGAAGGGGGGATGGGTGGGATACAAAGCAGAAAAAAGCTATCATAAAGAACCTACTCAACTTTCAGTCAGAGGATGAAGACACTTATTTTTTTTCAGACCTGACAGAGCTTTCAATCTAAAATCCAGACATACCTAAATAATAAATAAATAATTAATAATAATAAAAAAATCATAATGGGTACCTCTTTTCTCTTCTGAGGAACTGGGGAATTTTTCTGCAAAAGTTCTGTTAAGCTGTGATGTTTAACACTTGATTACATGTAGCAGAACAGGATACATGGAGTATTGCTAACTCAGCAGGTACACAGGATTTGGGTAAGTGACTTTTTATAGAAGCCACTTAAAATATTACCTCATTTTTTAAAAATAAACATCAAAGATTGTTTCTGAACTTTCGCCCCCACTATCATGCAGTTTATATTCAATGTTGGAAGTGATAATGGGCATTGTGAAATAAATTTCTGTCAAAGTTCCAATGGGCAGAAATTTTTGTTTTTTCTTTTCAGTTGTTGCTTCTGAAATCTAGTTGGGTAGCCGGTCTTTTTTTGTTCAGAGAAGGGCCTTATTGTGGAAGTCATTTTGAGATGATGATGAAGATCTAAACAAAACTCAGGGAGAACAGACGTCTGTATGTCAACTATGTTATCAGTCTAACATGTACCCAAATGAGAAGTGTGACGGAAGGAACCTTATAATGTGAGATTTTTAATCAAGATTCTACTGTCATTGATGGATATTAATCCAGCAATTGGAAGAATAATAAACCAATTATCATGGAGTTTCTGATATTTTTAAAAGATATTTTAAGTGACAGAAAAGATGAATTTGAAATAAACCTCACTGTATTCTGGAAAGATTTTCATTTTTCTCAAGAACTAAAGTGTACATACAGATTTTACCATATTCATATTATTTATACAGAACATTTGATGCTAAATTAAGCACTTCTTTTGAAGTAGGAAAAACATGTTTCAACAATTGCTTTCAGGATCAAAGTATCTCTTAAATGCAAAATGAATACTGATCAAGATTTGAAATAAATAAATTCTATAAAAATAGACTTTTTAAAAAAGTGTCACCATAAAACTTGGCTTTTTAGTAATGAAAAGTAGAAAATGTTTTTATACACTTACTTATTGAAATATCAGAAAACACTCATGTCAAAGGTACAAATAGCTTTTGGGGATTAGATTTGGCTATGAAATGTACAGCTAGATTTTATACGAACGAAGGCAAGATTTTTTATTCCCAATCCTGAGATCATGATTGCCTGCAAAGTGATAAGGGGCTACCGCCTTTACATACCCAGGCAGAACAACTTCACTACTTTTATGTTATTTCAGTTGTTATAACTCAAAGAAGAAAGGCAAAGGAATATCAACAATACAATAGTCATAATTTAATAATAAAATGAATTATAATTGCTATTACTGCTAAACTTTCAGCTGCTAATGTAAGTAATTTTTACTTCCTCAAAAATATATAGAATAATTAAAGGCATCCTGACAATTACTTTGATCTATAGAAACATTTGCAATGAATGAACGTTGACCATATGAATATTTTCATGTTCTCTGAATAGTATTTATTTCTCTAGTCTGGTATTGGCCATTTGAGAGATAGACAAAGCCCTTTGAAGCGGTATATAAGCCTAACTATTGCTATAAGAACAACAGCAACAACTTTTCTTCCACAATATTCTAATCCCAAAAATTGTATCAGTAAGACTGAAAGACATTTGCATGCATTTGATGTTGATCTATTGATCATCCCCAAAGGAAACTACACAAAATCTTCAAACTGCTTCCAATTTAGCAAAGTGGTTTGTTTAGTATGAAATATGCAGAGCATTTAAAAATGTTAATTAATTATGGCAGCTGTGAATACAATGACATTTGCTCTTTGTCAGAGTCCACACATGCAGCTGTACCAGTATATGTGCTTATTAGTAATTGCACAAATATTCCCAAAATATACACCTTTGGAAAAGGTTAAAGCAAAACCATGAAGAAATGAGAATGCAAATCCTAAACACACCTGAGTGGGAGTAGCACCAACTGAATATATTTGGATTTATTATGAGTATTCAGTATATTGTTATTATTTTCTATTGCTCTCATATTGATGTGATTTTAATAAATATACGTAAATAATGTAATGTTTCATAAATAGTATTTTAAAAATTGTTTCTGAACAGAAGAATGGAATGATTTTAACAGTTTGAACAAATATTTGTGGTTGTTTTGTGTTGTTGGTGATGTTAATACTTGAAAGACACTTATACGATTTTGGTAGTACTGTGATAAAACTTTTTAAAACACTACTGTGATAATTTTTTTATAAATAGGAATAATATCTTATATAATAAATTCTTCATTTTATTACATACTACTTTTAATACAGACAATATATATGTTTGAAAGAATTAAATATCTTATTTCAACTAACTACTAATTTTTTAGTCAATGTTTTTTATTTATATTGATCAAAAAGTTTCCTACCAAATGGGACCAGATACCCATAAATAAACAAACAAACAGATCTTAGAAAGGATAGACAAGAAAACATGTCTCAACCCACTTTGCCCAAATTTAAGAATATTAAAAATTTAAGGCATTTTTTTCAATATTATGGAAATGGAAATATTATTAACTTCAGGATTGCAACTAGGAATGATTATTTATGGTTGTAGCATTCAAGCTGAATAAATATAAATCTAATGTTGAAATGCTATATATTATAAAGTTAATTAACATAAATATTAATATGTATATAAAATCTATATATTATTTACAGGTTTTTTATTTTCATCATATGAATAATATTTCAATTTTGGGTTGAGACTTAGATGTGCTTAGAGAAGACCCATGACAATTTCTAGGGGAAAAAATGAAGTAACTGATTTCTCATTTCTTACAGTAGAAAAACTCAGGGTGATTAAGATATATTTTAGACATAAGCAGTAATTTAGTTTTTTTATTGGGATGTTTGAATACAATACATTTTAAGAGTTTAGATAAATATGAAATTACATAATGTTATTGTTCTAGTATGTTTTCTAACTATCCAGTGATACAATATAATAAATTGGATATTTCTTTTCAGTGAAATGAAAACCAACAGATATTAGGAGAAATTTCCTAATACCAAATGCAAGTTTTTTATTTAACGAATTGCTTTGACTATCTCATTAGAAGGTAAAATCTATATGATCAGTAGTCTACTAAATCTACTAGTTTCCTGGCTTCTAGCTTGGCGCCTTACCCGTGATACTAAATAGGCTTTCATTATTTGATTAGTGAAGACAAAAACAGGTAAAAATGAGGGTAGAAGGTTATCATTGACATAAAAATATGGGGTATTTTCATATGCTCTACTTTTTTGTCTGAAAAGGTTATCTGATAAAGCAGAAATCCTACCTTCTGTATAGTCTACCTAATTTTGCTTAGGCATTTTCCTAACAAACATATTGCTAGTTATCCTTATTAAAAAAAACATAACAGTTCTAGCTTTTTATTGGTGGCCTTTCCTGTATATTAGTTACTATTAATTTATTGTAAATAACCTCAACAGTGAAATTGATAAACAACAGATAACAATTAAATCAAGTGTCCCTGCTGACAATACTCCATTCATTGTTTGTTATAAGCCTGAAGAAAAAAGAATTGTCCAAACATTTTGTTCACAGTCACACATAGAATTAAATATACAGTTAGAAAGGAATTTAAAAGAAATTTATTTTTATTTTGAAATAAAAGAAATTATAAAGTAACATATTTTGAATGGAATGCAAGGAAAATGAAAATAGATTTATCTTAGTTAAAGAATTACAAGCAGATATTTACATTCTGTAAGAACTACTTGATTACTACTTTTTCCTATTTAGTTTGTTAGCCGCCCTGAGTCCCCTCGGGGAATAGGGTGGCGTACAAGTTCAATAAAACTAAAACTAAACTACTTATAGTCCTCTACTGTGGACTTCTATTCTAAAATCAGACCAAGTACAGCATCCTTTTCTGAAGCTTTCTATTTTAAATACAATCTGTCTAATATTTTCCTAGGTTTTGCAATGGAACGAATATGGCTCCCGCTTTTGCTGTCTGTAAAATTGCTGTCAGTGACTGCACAATTCAATGGATATAACTGTGATGCTAACTTACATAGCAGGTTTCCTGGTAAGTATTTACTACTATATTTTAAATGCAAAGTTTTTATTCCCCTGCTTTGAAAGGATACTTACTTGTAATAAATGCCAACCTTTTTAGTTAAAGAAGCATATGGAGAGTATTCATTAAGTGACTGAATTCCATTGAAGAAACATAAAAATATCAGCTCTGCTTCATTCAGGTATGGTCCCTAGTAATGAAAATAAAGATGAGAGTTTCATGTTGTCATTAAAAAAAGTGAATTTAATACACAAGACATTTTTTCCAGCAATACTGGAAGATTTTAGATGTATAATTAGAGAATTCATCAGTTTTGTTTTTAAGACGGAATTCAAAACACATGTTCAGTTGCTAGTTCTGTGATTACCAGTATTTAAGAATATTATCCTAAAAGTTTTGATCATGAAATGTTAAAAACTTTCAGTAATTCTCAATTAAAATATCTTATTGACCTTCCCAATAAATATTGCAAAGTTCCAAGTCAGGAATATGAATAGATTATTTGAACCTTATGTACATAATAATTAGAGGCAGAAAGTTAAATGGCATAAATTTGCATTATTTTGCCATCTTGAGATTGCTAAATCAAAGGGAGGCATGTTCAATAAATGGTTAGTGAAGTTCTTTCTGCTCCCAAGTTAACTTGACCATATTCCAAAGGGTATAGAACTGATCTATTAAAATATCCCTTCAGGATAGTTTGTAACAGCATAACATATTAAAATAATTGATTGTCTATAATTAATCTCAGAAAAAGGATAAATACAAAATAAAATAGAAGAATAATTGACCGTTAAAAGAAATTTAAAATCTATTAAATGCTAATTTAATAACTACAGTACTTAGTGAATCTGAGCAGTTAGTAATGCATAACTGAAAATGATTTATGATTTTTCTTTGACATGGTGTTATGCTGACTTTAGGAGTTGGAATTCTGGATTAAATGGTAATCTCTTTATTTCTAGACTGCTTTATTCTTTAATGGGGAACAGAAATTGTGACTGTTTTTTTTCCTAAAAAAAAAAACCTGCTGGTTTATGGGCCATATATTTTTCATCCAAAATAGACATGGAAAAAAAATAAAGTTTCTACTTGCCCTTCTAATCAATCAACACTTCCAGCTAGAGCTGGTTCCAACCTCCAAAAGAAAGACCATAAAGTTCATCCGGGCTTCTGATTGCCTTTTTCACATTATTTACAAACTTTTAGAATGAATGAATTCATGCAGATAAAAGTCTGTGCATAATTTGAAACTGAAATTTAGAACTTGATGATCAAGTTTTAGATCAAATGAGCTTTAGATCAAAACATGGCAGAGCTGAAGATTCTGAAGATTAATTCACATCAAACAAGAAATAATCTGCTTGAATATTGTGATATATGCTGTGCTACAGATATGGAAAAGTCTTTGAAAGAAGACAGATTCAAAATGAAGTAATCCACTTATTAAATTATCACTGAGATAATTTCTAATTTCTAAACATTTCTTATAATGATGAGCAAGATACGTTTATAGCAGCATTCAAAGAAATATGCAGTTTGCTTTTACTGCTGCTTGAGTGGATGCTTGGAATAGAAGTTATTTTTGAAGCTGGTTTCCACTTCCACTTAGATCCAGCCTTCTGTGCTGCTCTTGTGAAATTTCTGCATTTTTCTTGCCAAGTGAGATCTCTCAAATAGAAGGCAAAAATGATAATTATTTTTTACACCAGATGCCTTCCTCCCAATTTCTGACAGTTCAGAATGAAAGTTATTGAGGAAAACTCATCTCATAGCTAATAGTAGTAATTAAAAAAAGACTGAATTCTTTTTCTACCAGTTTTTTGTTTATAGGTAGATTATTGCGTGAAGAAGTATTTGCACCAGATGTTTTGGAGACGCTTATTGCCACAGGACTGAATTAGAGGAAGGGAAACTTTTGATGATAATGACAATAATAGTGAGGTTGATGATTATGGTTTTAATTTCTCACTTAGAGAAAGGCTGCCCACATTGGCTATGGAACAAGACAAAACCAAATACTTCATTTTCAATATGCCTTGTAAGGAAATCCCAGCCAAAGGTTGATTTTTAGCTATCTAGACTTTTTGAAACAATATTTTGCTTAATATTATACAATTGTATCACAGCAGCCAGTTGTTTCGCCGGATTTGGCATTGGTTACTAGTTGGGCCCCACCCAGGGGCCTAGGATGTCGTAACGT